ATGGAAGATTCCTGCACAAGACTAGTCGTCTAAACGACGCCACAGCGAATATCTCTCAGGGGTGACCGTGGACCAGATGACTGCATTATGCAAAAAATCTGGCAATGTCGTGCCTTGGAATTTAGGCCTTCGAGTCTTTACATTTGAAGACAGATAGGGACACTGCAATGATTTCCTTTAACCTACCCTTTGACCCAAAACAAACAGTAGGGTTTGAAAAAGAACGAACGAATAGCGATTCCAGCAACGCCTGCCCCACAGAAATTAAGCTCAACTCTATCAAGTAGTTCACTTTCTTTTAAGACCTATTATTTAACCACTAAGGCGTGAACGACCTCGAACTAGTGATGGTTAACACTTACTCTTTCGTCCCTTATTCGAACCGTTGACTTGCAGATGTTGTATAGACACTGATGTTTGAAATTATCCTGTTAATCCTTGCGACCTTTAAGAAATAACCATTCATCGACGACTGTACCCACCGTTGTCCACAACCAAACCTACGCGTTCCCCGTAAGGGAAAGCGGACAACTACGATATCCAATCGCAAGACAAGGTGAAGCATGATAAGGCGCATATTATCGAGCCGATAGGAAAGCCAAAAAGATCTGTTATGAACCCTGAAATGCTAAAAAGCGTCAGTTACGCTCCTCAAGGTGTTACTTCATTCAGAACGAACCGGACGGAAACAGCGTCAACTATCTTCTACACTAATTCCCGGTGAAAACATTATGCCTTTCACTTACTGAACAGAGGATGACGACTTATTTTGCTTGTTGTGATGATTTTCTTATGCTGCTTGCTCTATGCACGTTTTCAGCTAGTCATTTCCATTCATTTTTCGGCTTTTCAGCACTTTCTGCCTGGCATCAGATACAGCGTTGTGGAAGGAACTGTCTATATTCGAACACACATTTTAGCCAAGAAACCCCATCTTCTTTTCTTCATCTCGATATCTACTGAGGATGCCAGTGTTCGAAAGACAATAGATTCATGTCTTAAACTGTTCTACGTTTAAGGATGATTATGCGAATAAAACCAACGCTTATGTATGCTGTTCAATCGTTGCTCAATCGACTGCTTCAATGACGAATAACATCAAAAAGCCAACCAATTAAGGTCCGAGACAGACTATCAAAAATTGGAAGCAAAGACGATCTTCATGCTAAACAATGTGTACTTTGGTCAATGGAGATATCACAACCCAAATACTTGAACCAGTTAAGTTTCTCTGTCGTTTCTATTACCAGTTCCATTTGTAGATCTGATCTGCCGGATGTGTTCCTCATAAAACCTCCCATTTACGGGCTTGGCAGAAGAACAGCTTTTGCCAACTGCATTCCACGTGGAACCCCTCAGATGGCGAAGCCCGTTTCGCGCACAACTCCTCAGAGTATATCGCTTAAGTACTCAAAGTCAACAATAAGATACGATAGTAGATATTTTAAACAACACTTCTACAGTAAAAGTTTCGTGTTTGCTTAGGTCAGTACTATTCTGTTGGGTTACATCTTGTGCTGATTATTACACTGAACTGTCAGTTACTATGTAGGTCAAGGAGAAGGGCAGCCAGAAAAGGCGTCCGCATCGGACAGCACGGCCGTACGTCTCGGTCGTTATGGCATGGCCCTACAAAAAGGACGTTGATACTGTGTCTACGAGATCTGCTTCGATCCACGGAAGTGCCGGGTTCGATTCCGCTCAATGACAATTTTAGCCATATTCAGAAATTCCCCTGAATGAGGAATCAACCACATATTGCTGCGGACTGGGGTTGCTCAGTCGTTAGAGCGTCGAACTCAGAACCGATAACTACAGAGTTCAAGCCTCTATCGGGGTCACTTTCCCTTCTTCCTTCCCAGGTTTATAAATGAGTACCATTCTGTGAGAAGAAAACAGGAGATTATACGCTACGCTGCCACATGGATATAAACTCTGCCTTTAAAATGAACCACTCCTGGCTGATGGCATAAAACACAGATCATACCATAAGCCTAATGAAATGAGGGCGAGAGAAGGACCCAGTTACGAACGTGAAGACCGACATTCCAACGGTGACAGATTCTCGATATCTTTTTCCAACAAAAATAACACACTTATCCCGCTGTTCACGAAACAGCGATTTGTTGCCCGTTTCTCGACTGACTGCACTGGAACAATGATGGGTAAATTTCTTGCGTTTAAGACATATCTTGACATTTTCAAGACATGAACCCGTCACCTTCGGAGTTCCAAGACGGCCTCTTTACTACGGTGCCACAGGCCCGTCCCCTACC